GCCTCATTTTAAAAAGTTTCCAGCTCTTATAGCCTGGAAGATCAACTTGAAAAAGCAGATTTGGATACTACCCAAGGTGTGTGGGGTGTCCACCAAAGCTACATCGCCACCTCCCCTTTGCTTGTTGATGAGCAGTTCCTCCTCTGATCCCAGCCCACTTCGCTGGCTGCCACTTTAGGACAGGCCTGGCATTTTATTTTTCTACATTTTACCAGGGAAGAGAAAAGAAGGAGAGGGCATGAAGCAGCTGCCTAAAGTGTGTTGGGCAGGGGGACTGTGCAGATAATTATTATGGATCCAACTCAAAGTACTACAGTCATTTCCAACATTTGGCAACCATAGGAAACCTTCTTGTGCGGTCTCCGTGGAGTGTGTTTTCAGTTCCCCAGGAAGGAAGAAGGGCTCAGGCCTGTAGCTACAGTGGGCCATTTGGGGGCCTGGCCCCCTGACTTCCTGCCCAGCCCCCCAACTTCCTTTCAGCCCAGCCCCCCCCACTCTCTGGCAAGATGCAGCAGCCACCACGAACTCCCCCTGTGCTGCCACTTCTCCTTGCTTTCCCCCTACACTGCATTTCTCTCTGGGGCCATGAGTTTCCTTTAATTAATTTAGCCAGTACCTTAGTACCCCCCGAAGAATTAAAATGCCCCCCAACTTAGAAATTCCTGGCTACGGGCCTGGAAGGGCTGCAAGGATAGAGTGAGTCAGCAGATGTTTGCCTGAGACGGACATCATCCCACCAGAACAGCTGACAGATATTACCAGTGAATAGGTCCGTCCGAACTGGCACTTCTACACCCAGTGCTTCCAACTTTCCCCCGATCATTGTACCGCCTCAGACTATGGGATGGGTTTCTGATTCTGTATTGTGCATGAGCTCTTTCCTTATCTGGGGCAAGGACAAAGTTTTGCTTGCACCTATTGGCAGGACAGCAGACCAAGCTGCTCAGATGGGGGAGGGGAGGGGCCCAGCCCCCAGACACATGTACCCACAATAGACAGTGCGTCTGCCCTGCCGCGGATCACAGAGGCAACTGCTTTTCTGGCATTAGCTTGTATGCACAGCAGACTGTGAAGACAGGGAAGGACAGAGGCAGGGGGCTGAGGCGCCACCCCCTTCCCAAACATAAACACAGACAGCCAACCAGATGAGATGTGAAAGATCCGGAGATGAGAAAGGATCCTGCTATTCAGTACCATCCGAGGGAGCAGTGAGGAAGATTTTTGAGGTAAATAAATAGTCGGTCTGTAAGAAATTCTTCCATGTGGCTAAAAGTAAAATAGGTATTACTGGGTTTCTATTCTGCAGCTGTGCTAATGCCGTTCTTGGCCTGACAGGCTTCCTGTCTTCTTTGCCGTTCTTCTGTGACTGGAGATATTGAGGACTGAACCTAGAACCAAATACGGAAGCTAGAACAGATGTCCAGCATGTGTTCTGCCACTGAACTAGACCTCTGACTTAAGGCAAAGCCATCATCATCACAAAAGCAGGATGGTCCCTTGCTTTGATCCTGTAATCATTCTTCTGTAACATTTTCTTGTTGGAAATACACAGATCTGAGAATCATGAATTCCATTTGACTTCGCCAGAAGGTGTTCATGATCCTGCTTTCCCATCTATTATTGTTCTTCTGGTTTCATATCTCTATAATTAACCTTCTGCTTTGGCTTCAAATGAACCGCCAGTCTCAAAGCAAAACACAGCTGAAATTGACATGTTTAGTCTGAATTTGGTTTAATCCATAAAAACCCAACAAACACCACATCAATCAGAATCAGACGTTTCTGGAAGCTCTTCAGGTTCACTGAACAAGTTCATGAACTTTATGAATATTTTGTTATATGCCCAGCTCTTTCCACAGATAAAGCTGACGCGAACTGTTCACTTGGGGAGCATAATTATTTGAATATGAAGACAACCGACCCCCTTCCAGCTAATGTGGTCACTTTCCATGTTAGTTAGAGCTCCAGTCCATTCCAAACTCATGTGTTCCCCAAGCTGTGTGATAAACCATTCAAAGCCATTCAGAAACTGCTTGATAGTGCCAATGTGGTCTTAATATCATATAGAAGTTTGCTTCTTATGAGTTTATTGATGTTCAGAATGCTCCTCCAAAATTTTACTTGACATATTTTTTAAAAGTCTTTTGACTTTCAAAAAATTTCAGATGTTTTCTCTGAAAAGACCCCCCCCAGTTTTGTTTTGTTTTGTTTTTTTAAAAAAAATTGGCTTCCAGCAAATGTTTAGTGGAAACGTTAGGAGTACGGTCCAATGAAGATCCAACTTGCACATCTAAGTCCTGTTTATTTCGGTGGAGGAGAATTAGCCTGCAATCTTAAGAGCATATTCATGGGAGTAAACCCTGCTGAATAAAATTAAACTTACTTCTGACTAGCTTTGTTTAGGATTATCTCTCACTGAAGCCAATGAAACCCAAAAGTGCTGGGGTCAAGTGACCCTAGCAGAAGCGCTTTTTGTAGAGGAAACAGAAGCAAGAGAGACAGACAAATATAATATGTAATGGGTAGGGATGGGCACAAACCAGGTCATGAACTAAAACTCATGACAAGTTTTGGCCGGTTTGTGGTTCATGAAGTTAAGTTCGTAGCCGGTCAACTAGCATAAACTTTCAAGCTCCTCGTGGAGGTTCATGCCAGTTCATGAATGGATAGATTTACAGGCAGACTGTCTCCGCTCAATCTAAATGTTTACAGAACTTCAAAACAATGGGGGTCGGAACTTGGAGGACATGTAGAGGAGCGTCTAGGGGAGGTCTCCTGCAACTTTGATGTCTCTAGTTTGCACAGGATACATACTCTGCACTCTTGAACCTCCTGAACCCTCACCTGTCAAAATAACCACCAGCCAATCTTCTACCCAGTCATGAACCTCACGAACCAAACTAGTTCATTTGATCCCTAAAAGTTTATGACAGTTCATGGTTCGCAAACTGGGTATGCCACAAACCATGAATTAAACCACATTTTCACGGTTCGTGCCCATCCCTAATATAAGGGTATGGTGTTTTAGATTACAAACTGCTCAGTGCATGACTCCATTATGTCCTACCTGCCTTCCAACTGTTCCAGTCTCCAGAAGAAAAGCCCTATTTTCCCTCTGCTGTGGAAGGAAACGAACCCCTTTTGTGGCAGATGTTTCACCCTGGAGTTAGGCTAATAATTTCAAAGCCATTCCTTTAATTATTGTCATTTTGCCTGCAAATGACAGATCAAGCAAAAGTCCAAAACAAGCATCTAAGTTAGTGCTTTCCTAACACTCTCTCTATAGTTCCGTGATTTACTGTTACATAGAGTTCGTAGTGATGCTAAAAAAATTGCTAATTGTTTAAATCTAGAAATTTTTACTGAGGCACACAAATAAACTGGCATAAAATGTAATCTTTTAAATAAATTTGCTGATTATTTCCCTGCTGAAACTGAACTTACCCTCCCAAAGCCTAAACGTTAAATGCAAATTAGACATTTTTAGTATTGGCTCATGTTTTTCTCCCAGCCCACTCACGCTGGAAAAGGCAGACAGAGCTGCAGTCAAAAGATGGAGCTGCTAAGGGCTAGAAGGATGGAGGGCCGGAGATGAACATTTTTATAACTAGAACGATTATCTTCCACTCTGCGTGTGCTTTTGAAAAAGATACCTTTGGTGCTGGATATATTCCGGGGAGGAGTGTCTCTGAATCTGCCTGTGCTGCCTTGTCCCTCACTAAGGGACACATCCATGTGCTCAGCTTGCTTTTCCTGGCCCTATCTCCTTTGGGCTGAGGGTTGCCAACCTCCAGGTGGCGCCTGGAGATCTCCTGCTATTATGATCGATCTCCTGATAACCCAGATCATCCCCCGGAGAAAAAGGCCACTTTGGAGGGTGGACTCTGTGGCATTATATCCTTCTGAGCTCCCTCCCCTCCTCAGGATCTACCCCCAAAATCTCCAGGTATTTCCCAACCCAGAGCTGGCAAACCCGTCTTGGGCTGTGGGCTACAGTCCTGGCTTTGACAGAGGTGAAGTCATCCTTCTGGCTCCTTCTTTTACTGACACCTGATTCTGCTGGCACATGGGCATTAAAGAAGGGGGTCTGGGACTGGAAAACTTGAAGACCACTCATGGAAGATCCCATGGCGAGAGGAGGGGAAATTCTGAGATAAATCTACAGATGGCCAGTGGGATATCCTTCCATGTAAATGCAAGCAAATTAGATATTACTGGGTTTCTGTTTTACACCTGTGCAAATACCATTACTGGCCTACAGCGCGTGACATTATTCTGTGACAACGTATTATTTCCTGGTATTCCAAAGAATTCATGCAATTTGACTTCATCACAATGAAGTCATTAAAGAAGCTTGAGAACGAAGGAATCTCAGGTCTAGAGAAGCAGGGACATGATGTATCTATAAATATGCAGTGGTTTTGTACTGAATTCATATTTCAACATACAGTTCATCATCCATGTTTTAATCCATTGTTTTAAAATAAACATATCTGCTTAGATATATTATGTTGATATTTGGCTCAATAAAAATTGCTTATGGGAGTCCATAAGAAGAAATACATTCTCAGGGAGCTATTCCTTGCATTGCAGGAGTGAATCAAGTTACAACTGATGAGAAAAAAGAAACAGAACTTCAGTTATTCTAACTGGAACTAAGGTTGCCAGATCTGGGTTAGAAAATACCTGGAGATTTGGGGCACGAAACTTGGAGAGGGAGGGGGTTGGGGAGGGGAGGGACCTCAACATGGTACGATGCCATAGAACCCACCCTCCAAAGCAGCCATTTTTCCCCGGGGGAACTAATCTTTGTAGTCTGGAGATCAGCTGCAAAAGCAGGAGATCTCCAGGTCCCACCTGGAGGCTGGCAACCCTAGTTGTGCACACAATGCGACTAGCTGCCACAGGAGCAGATGTTATACGTCCATGACTCTGGGACAGGCCAAAAGGCAAACGGTCGTAGCTGTTTGTACTCGATTCTAGGTTAAGGAATCTCTTACCTACTCGGAGCTCTTGTCCGAAGACTGTCTTCTCTCCCAGCGCTGAGCAGTTCCACCTGCCATATCGGAACTGGTACTGGCATTCATTGATTCCCATCTGGGCCCCTTCTCCGATCACTATGATGGCATCAGGACGGCTCTGGCAGATCGCTCGCTGCCGAGGAGCCAACCCGGGGATTTTGTTGCAAATGATGTTTGCTCCTAAAGCCACCACAGACGACAAAGCTCTGCAGAGAAGCAGGAAAGAAGCGTTAGAGCTAATGGAGGCCATTAATTCCATTTCCTTGATAGCATACCATGCTGGACAAGGCAACGGGCCACAAGCAAAAGGGTTGGAAGGAGGGCCTGTAATTACAGACACTTATCCCAACCTCTTTGGTCTGGCAATTGGGCTGGAAACCTTGCATGACTTTCGGTAATGCCCGGTTTCACTCGGCCCAGAGTCACCACATGTGCAATCCCTTTTACAGAAGGCTGGCACGTCTGGCCTCTGTCTACCATCAAACCAGGAAGTGAGGGAACAAACATTAAAGGTTTTTTGGGGGGGATTTTGGAGATAATGGTCAAAGTCTACGTTGAGTTAAAGGAAGATTAACTCCACCTTGACGGAGAACGCTTTCAAGCCAGGACATCCCCTTCTAGTTTTAAACCACAAGGTTAAAAAAGAGAGAGAGCAGAGAATGGCCATTTGACCGACATTTGCAGTCATTATTCTACACATGAGTTGCTGAATGATTAATAGGAGCCGGGGAGCATGCATGTTGGAGTCAGGTTGGGGTTTTTTTCAGTTCTGGGAAATGGTTTGGAACATTTCTCAAAAAAATACCTTAAACACGCAGAGCGTGTAAAAGGCACATTTTGCCATCGCTGGAATGGAAGCGTTTGTAATTTTTTGTCCAAGCTTTTGCATACAGCTCAACAATGAACAAATTGGAGGTTGCAGTCCAGGTCAAAAACTTGGGAGCCTTGTTGTTGGCTGCAGTGGGATCTGGGCCACACCTTCACACAACCACACGAATCAGACCATCAGTCCATCAATGTCAGTATTGTCTACTCATACTGGCAGCAGCTCTCCAAGGTCTCAGGCAGAGGTCTTTCACATCACCTGCCACCAGATCTTCTCACTGGAGAGGCCGGGGATTGAACCTGGGACCTTCTGCATACCAAGCAGATGCTCTACCACTGAGCCACAGACTCTCATGTCTTCCCTTTATAGGCCCTTGAGATTGTAGGTCTGAACCCAAAGGAACCCTGGCCAGGGCAGAGCTCACTCGTTTGCCTGAAGCCACCAGAAAGTTCATGGCGTAGATGAGGGTCTGAAATGGGGACTTCTACTAGGGTTGCCAACTCCAGGTCTGGAAATACCAGGAGATTTTAGGGTGGGGCCTGGGAGAGTGGGGTTTAGGGAGAGGGTAAAGCCATGCAGGCCACCTCCCCAAGCAGCCATTTTCTCCAGAAGAAGTTGAATAAATGTTTTAAATAAATAAGTGATGTATGTATGGACAAGCTGAAATGTGTCCAGAGGAGGGCAACGAAGATGGTGAGGAGGGGTATGGAGACCAAGTCCTAGAAAGAATGGTTTTGAAGAAGCTGGGTGTGTTTAGCCTGGAGAGGAGACGACTGAGAGATGACATGATAACCATCTTCAAGTGCTTGAAGGGCTGTCATATAGAGGATGGTGCGGAGTTGTTTTCTGTTGCCCCAGAAGGTCGGACCAGGACCAACAGGTTGAAATGAAATCAGAAGAGTTTTTGGCTAAACATTAGGAAGAACTTCCTGACAGTTAGAGCAGTTCCTCAGTGGAACAGGCGTTGTGAGCAGGCGATTTGGCTACTGCCTAAATTAGTTTGCTCTGGAGCCATCCTTCCTGAGCGAAGACAAAAATGTGTGAGCCAGAGGCTAAAAAACTGTGAGCTAGCTCACACTAACTCATCTTAGAGGGAACACTAGACTGGGGGTGGGGGGGAGGTATTTGTGAATTCCCTGCATTGTGCAGGGGGCTGGACTAGATGACCCTGAAGGTCCTTTCTGACTCTATGATCCTATGATTCTGTGTCATCTGGAGATCAGCTGTATTTCTGGGAGATCTCCAGCCCCCCACCACCACCTGGACAATGGCAACCCAAGACTCCTCCGGTTCATAGGTCAGCCTCTAACCTAGAGCTAGCTTGCTGTCCCAGATAACGCCTCCAGCTCTGATCCCTGGGCATAATTTCAGAGATTAGCAGGAAAATAAATGTTAATCTTTGATAACAATCAGATCGGATTCCAAAGCATTACTGCAATGCCTGCCTAGGTGACTAACTTAGTACAAAAATAATATTTGCCCATCGACTCTCTTAACAATGAATGCCAACGGAGCACACTTCAAGATGTCTCATGCACTAAACCGCAGTGGAATGCAGAGATTCAGGCAAGGCAGAGCCCTGAGAGATGTGCTGCAGCAGGGGAGGCAGCCGTCATTCAAACAGAGCTGGGGCTTGGCTTTTGTTTGGCCCAGTAATGCTACGTTCAGTTTGCTCAAGATGCAAATGGTTAAAAAAAAAAATAGAAGCACAAAGGCTTTCCCAAGATGTGAGCTCAACCACCTGACTTTAGACAACCGCAGCTCTCTTTGTTTCTGGTCATAATTCATGGTAACATCTTGCTCCTTAGAGCGTGGGCAAGATGGTCGGTCTGCTCCCATGATCACCAGCAGCCTGCTGGGGGGGGGAGCTCCTGGTATGGGGGCGGGGGATCATCATGAATACACTGTCCATTCCCCCACTCCACAGGGCACTGCTGCTGACTGGCCTGTCCCTATCCCTCTGGGCAGCAGGCTTCTCAAAGGCATTGGCGGTGGCAGCCATGTGGGTAAGCAACAGAGCGGCAATGGCATCTATGAGCTGCTCTCTCTCTGCTGCTTGCTCGCCTGGCTTTTCTTCCTGGATGTGGTGATTCCTAGAAGCCACAATGATGTGTCTGAGTTTGCAGATGGCATCCCAGGGTTCTGACCCAAATCAGCCCCTGTGCACCTGGGAACTGACTTCCCAGCATGGAACTCCAGGCATGCATCTGATCCAAAGTCCTTAAGGGGGCCACACATTCACCATGTGGACTTTGTGAATCAGCCCACACTAGAATGGTGTAGATCACCCAACAGGTTGACCAAGGAAGTTTCTGTCTCATAAATCCTGACTGAAAAGGATCGAGGCCATCAGTTCCTTCCACTCTTGTATGACTGTGCTTAGAAACGGCAGATCGGAAAGGCATTCAGCCATCATAATAGTAAATCCTTTCTTTGCAAGAATGGATGAGGCAAAAGCAAACTTTGGCCAAGGGAATCAGGGCCCTGCTGAGTACAGCAGATTAGTGTGAGGCCTTGACAATTGGAGAGACTGCCAAAATTCTCCTTATCAAAGGTTTTTTCCCCTGGATTATATAAACGCATCACCAGATATTGCACTGTCTCCATCATTTACAACCATACTATCTTGGTGGACAATCCAATCCCATTGCAAGTGACTTCTGTAGTGCGATATCCAGGGACATGTGGATGTTCAATTTTAGTGTTCCAAATTACTTGAAGAAGCTTCTGAACTGGAACTGGTGCACTAGGAATTCTCAGCTGTTTTCTTTTTTTTAATTTCCCAGATTCTTTACAGAATGTGGTGTACACGCAGTTATGTCAGTGCACATGGTGCATTGGTAAAACACTGCATGACAGCAATCCATGTGATCACAACTGACTGCATCAAGATTATTTTGTGGTGTTTTGCTAATGCTCAGAGTCAGCAGTACATGTGTGCATCGGTAAAACACTCCACAGAAAGAATCCTGAAGCAAACATTATGCATTATAAGTGCTTTTTTTTTGGGGGGGGGGTAGTGCATAGTAAAGCACACAGGGAAATGGTTATAGATAATCTCCTGCAGTTGAGAAGGAATGAAACAAACGACAAAAGACAACTTCCAGAGCAATAAAGGAATAAACTAATGCAGAGAGAATGTTTTATATATGTTTTAAATCCTAACAATTGTACTCTTAAAATTGTTTTAACTGAAATGTCCTGGTTATGTTCCAAATTAAATAAACTGACATATTAATGCAGAGAGAAGGCTTCTGCCCTCTACCCCATGCTCATATCTAGGCACCTTTATATTCACAGTCCACCTGTCTGTCATGTGGAGATTGTAAAGTGTAGATTGGCCCTAAATGAAACTTAATCTTGATAAAACAGCAGTGATGTGAGCCAGAACGAAATCCAGTGTGGCCCTGGGCATACAGCCTGTTCCAGATGGGGTTATGCTTGCCTTAAGGACACAAAAGCAATACAGATGAATGCCTCACAATCCATGAAGACGAAGGAGGCAGGAGAGTGAGGGGAAATGCCTTTTCGAGCTGAGGCTGGTTCACCAGCTGCAGTCATTCCTGAAGACAGCAAATCTAGTCAAAGACACACGTGCCCTGATAACATCCCAACTAGGCTACTGCAATGTACCGTGTTTGGGGCTGCCCTTGAAGATGGTTCAGAAACTTAAACTAGTTCAAAGCACTGTTATCCAAAATTCTTACTGGAACCAGTTTGCCAACCTCCAGGTGAGGCCTGGAGTTCTCCTGGAAAAACAACTGATTTCCAGACTACAGAGATCAGTTCCCCTGAAGAAAATGGCAGCTTTGGAAGGGGAACTCTATCGCATCACATCCATGTTTTGCCTTCTTTCTCCCCAAGTACTGCCCCCAAATCTCCAAGAACATCCCAAGACAAAGTTGGCAACCTATTCTGTTACAGTTACACTGGCTTCCAACTTACTTCCATGCCCAATTCAAAAAACTGGCTTTGACCTTTAAAGCCCATTTAGGGTTCACTCACAGTACCTGGAGAGCCAGTTTGTTTGTAGTGGTTAAGAGTGGTGGACTCTAATCTGGAGAACTGGGTTTGATTCCTCACTCCTCCACATGAAGCCTGCTGGGTGACCTTAGGCCAGTCACAGTGCTCTCAGAGATGTTCTCTCAAGAGTAATTCTCTCAGAGCTCTCTCAGCCCCACCTAACTCACAGGGTGTCTGTTGTGAGGAGAGGAAGGGAAGGAGGTTGTAAGTTGCTCTGAGACTCTGAATAAAGGGCAGGGTATAAATCCAACTCTTCTTCTTCTTCTTCTTCTTCTTCTTCTTCTTCTTCTTCTCCCCCCTTTTCCTCCTCCAGGACATTTTCCTCCCATATCAATCTTCTCAAGCCCCCATATCAAT